ATACCTGCGTCACTGGTTCACAGGTAATTAAAGTGCTTAATTACGTTTTTAATTCCAGTGGTTTATCTGTCTATCAAATGTCATATTTACTTCTTGTAGACTCATGATCTACAGTAGCATTTTGTTTGAGGGATAGTAACATTTACATGGGTCTCAAGTCCCCGGCAAGTTGCAAGAGTCTCCTTGAAATCAGGACAGCCTCCTAAACTCCGCGCAAGCAAACTAGAATCTCTGTGAGAGGATGCCATCTCCCGGAAATTTATGATATTTCATGTTTTTGCAATACTATATCGTTAATTGTCTCATGGACGTTAGTTCTGATGGATGCACAGCAAAATATAATTAGATGCGTTTACGAAAGCTCTATTCAACAATCTCCTGGAAGTGACTTCTTCCAATTTAGGACTCCTAACATCACAATGCATATTAATCTTTAGAAACTGCATGAATTAAGTACAGTATTTGAGCATATTTGAAAGTATAACTGCTTGGACTTTGGAGGTAACGCTGTACTGTAGGTGAAAATGAAGGAAAACCATTTTTCTTTAAGATGGCAGTTAATGCCTTGAATTAACGTACAAATAAGACCGATTTTGTAACTGAACAAAGATGTTTATGATGTGGCACTCGACCACAGTAGATGATTTTAGGATGATGTACAGTTCCTGCTAGATCGATACTTATATCATGGAGGTATATAATATTTTATACCTCCATGCTTATATACAGTAGACAATAGTGTCTGAACATCTGTTATCTACATTTAGCGAAGTACAGTACAAGAAATCTGATTACAAACTTTACCCTTGAAAATAACATAAAAAAATATTATACCATCTAATATATGTTGGCAAAGGTGAAAGCAACGGTGTCTATCTGTAGTTGAAAGTGGGTGGGGGAGGGGGAGGGGGTGGACAAATTGCAAAATAAGGAAGTAAGCTTGGCTGGGGCCAGGGGGCTGTCTGAGCCTCGGTGGAAGTTTCAGGGTTGAATCCTCGGAAGCTTTGGCGTCTATAGCCTTTTATAAGTCGTATCTAATTGATTTTATTGAATGCAATTATCCCCCGGAAGCTTTGGCGTCTGCCTTTTATAAGTTATATCTAATTGATTTTAAGGAATGCAGTTATGTATTTCCATGCTACATTTTCAAAATACAGTGGCAGATCTTGGATCTGCCACGAAATATTCATCATGAAAAGTTTCAATTTATTTTGGTAATCATAAACATGCCCACTTGTATAATTTGTGCAAACTTACATTCATAAAAATAATTATTTATTTTGTACTAACTTGTGACGTATTCGAACCATGAAAAACAAATAAGATAAACCTAAACAGTCTCTAATTTAGTATCTATGCGTGTACATTAGTTTTTGAAATCAATCAATAAAATTTGACTAACTATAATTTTTTTAAATTAGGAAAAGCAGGAATCTATGTATGCAGATAATATTAAACACTAGTATTATCCGGGTCTTAGTAATATACAAATGGAATAAATTGTTTTTGTAGAAATTGATTTTTGTAAAAATGTTGTCCTAATAGGTTAACAGGCTTCCAATTTTCACAACATACATTACATTTTTTTCAAAATAAATTAAGCCTCTGACAACCGTTGCACCCATAAAATCAATGGATTGGTTGCTGAGATGGATTAAATATATAATTTAAACACTAGCAACTAAAATGATAATAAGGATAATTAATAATGTGACCTTTTTTTGTATTTTCTATAAAAATGATGATAATTTGATCTATTTTTTGTTTTTTCTACTTTTCTTTTTGCTGCTTTGTATTTCCATAGTTGGTTTAGATATTGTGAATAATTTTGTGATGCAAACAATTTCAGCCTCGCTGCTGTTTGTATTTGTTTTCATATGTTTATAACTGTATAAATAAAAAAAAAAGAATACGAAATGTACAAACACTTGCGTTTTTACTCAGTTTTTGTTCAGAAAATACGCACCGCACTTGGAACAGAGCACAAGTGAACAGACAAATTTAATGAGTCATTCATAATTGTTGTACTTCCACTCCACTTACTTTGAAAAGTGGGGTTTTTACTATAGAAGGTTGGGGACAATACGTCCCCTACTGAAAAGTAGGGTAAGTGTACCCCTGTCCCCACAGATCGACGCCCATGTTTAAAAGGCTCAAAGTCATGTGTGCATCTATGTCAAAGGTCAAATCTAGAAAAGGTTATTAAGTTTATTACAGATTTGTAGAGAAGTTATTCGAATCGGGACCATCTTGATTTATATAATTTTTCTTTCCAAAGTTCTTCTTTTTAGTTCGAAAAATGTTATTATTTTATTTATATATGAAAGTTTGTGTGTATTTTTTTTTTATGTTATTTGATGTTTTTCATCCAGGACGTTTTTCCTTAGTTTGTACTGTGGAACCTGTCCTTTTGCATCTGTTTTGTTTTTGTGTCTAATGTTCTGTGATGTTTCTTTTTGCGAGTCGCAATAAATTTAATAAAGAGGGGAAAAAACATTTATTTACTGTAAATGCAGAAATATACTGCAAGCCATAATTATGATTATATGCACTGAACATCACTTGCAACAACAATATGGGTATTATATTTTGATTCTTATTCTGTTGTTGTGGTCTGTTGTAGCATAAGCCATTGTTAATATTATATGATTACAAAACATGAAAAATCTAGGCAAGGTAAAAATCTAGTATTTTATTGATATTAAATTTATTTCCTTATCTTTGTTCTTTAGGATGTATCGCTACTGTTTGCGATTTTTAAACCATATGATTTGGAATATATTGGAAACACAATAAACAACATGGCACCACCAGTTTTCATATCAAAAGGAAAATCCTAGTAAGTATGTACTTGTAGAATTTCAGAAGATGATAATATTTTTCAAGGTTATCTAACAAAAAACACATCAACTTAAATTAAACTTTGGAATATACATTTGAAAGCATCGTATAAGGTACCTTAATGAGCCACAGTTAAAAAAAAATAACAGGTTTTATACTTATTTACAGACATTACTAAAAATCCTTGATTTCCACCAGAAAGTAGTGTCTGTACTAAGAACATAGGAATTGTTAACAATGCTACATTTAAGTGACATGGAAAACATTTACATTCTTTCAATTCAGAGTTAAAAATAACTTAAAAGTAAGGAATTTAAATATTTATGTTTAATGTTTGAGTTTATATTTAAGTGACATGGAAAACATTTACATTCTTTTAATCAGGGAGGTAGCCAGGATTTTGAAAGGGGGGAGCCGTTATGCGAATTACGTATGACCCCGGCGGGGTCCTGGGGGCGAATTCCCCTGTGAAGTAGCGCAATCTGAACGTTCTTATAACTGTTTTGAGAGGATAAAGTGAAAATTGCAATATAAATTGGATTATAAATAAGTGCAACAATAATTATATAATAAATCAACAACCTGATCCAGGAATTCGAAAGAGAGGTGAACCAGGGAGGGACTTTTACAGACCAAGGAACCACCCACCTCAGCACCACCGTGGTTGGGGTTGAGGTTAAAAAATTTAGGATTAGGGCATCTCTAGATGGCCGGAAATTACGCTCTCACACTTAAATTTGAATGTATTTTTCTTTTTTTTTTCTTAAAAAAAATGAAGGGAGGGGGTGGCGGGCGTTGAATCCTCTGCTCAAAACATTCTTTATCCAGAATAGTCATAATCACGAAAAATTGACATGAAAAACAAGATCGACATCCTAAAAACATCAGGAGCCGACTCGATAGAGTTTAATGTCATACCCAGGGAAGGGCACAAATCTGTTTTGAAAGGTGGCGGGGGAGGACATTTTGTGAGTCAACACGCACCTCAGACCCACCATGGTTGGAGCTGAGGTGAGAAAATTTGAGGAAACAGTACCTCTAAATCGACGTTCCGCAAACTATGGTCCGCGGCCCAAATTTCGCGAAGTCATCTGGAAAATCATCATTGAAAAAAAATAACAAAGAGACGTTTTATCATGGAGAAAATAGTTTTTAATAAAGCCGCTTCACTGTTACAGTGAATGAGTCGCTTGCACACGCTGCTAAAGTGCCAGATGATGCGTGCTATTTGAATAATTATAAGCGGTTTTGTGTCTATGCCCACTCTGGAGCCTTTATCTGTATATTTATTCCTGATAGTGCTAGTATGCAACATTATTTTCTATATATAAATATACTGTAAATATACCTTTTTTAAGCATTAAATACATGTCAAGCGCGGATCCAGAGTTTACCCTGGCTCGCACAGATGGCTTCCCATATTGGGATGGTCATGAGAAGAGAGCTACAGTAGCTTGTTTTGTCGCTGGAAGATAAATTTTAGATATTCGAAAAGTTTTTGTTTTCTAGATTCTTTGAAATACACTTCGTGCATTATGAAACTCTATTATTGAATATACCCTGAATTCTTATTTTTTCACTACTTTGCTATGGACAATTAATAATTATGATGATGAAGAAGATGATGATGATGAGGAGGAAGCTGTGCAAGATAATTAACATGCCCTTTGTTGTGAAGTGTCAAGCGAGGCCGGTAGCCAAGTTACGGTTGGGAATGTTCAATGCACACAGTCGGACAATGATGATTTATGATACCTGTTTTGTATAATAATCTGAAACCCATAAAATATCAGTTCAGGTATTCATTTATCTTTATGGGGAAAATATAACATATGGACCATACAAATTAAAAAAGAATTCAAATAAAATTTAAAATATGTAAAATCGTTTTATGCATGCACTAACATGAGAACTTTAACCCAATAAATTTGATATGTATATGCTTTATGTTGTTTGTTGAATGAACTTCTTTAATAATAATATTACAGTCTAATATGACCACAACATAAGGAAGTCCATTCTGTAAATGTTTAGCATTAAATGTTTACAGAGAATTTCTTGCCAAGATTTGGTATGTTGGTCCCTGGCGCGGCCGGCTGCTGGGCCGCGGCTTGGTGCCTGGAATCATAAATAGGCCGTGAAGTAAAAAGTTTGCGGAACGCTGATCTACTTAATGTCCAGGACAACTTAGGCCTAACTATCTTACTAAGCTTTAACTATACTATAATAATTATGATCAACACTCACAACTTTTTTTTCGCATTTACAGTAGCACAATTTTCTTCACTTTTTATTGCTATTAATATTATTATCAATTATTATTATCGTCATCATTATCATCATGATGATGATCATCATCATTGTTATTATTTTTACTATTAGTATGAGTATTATTAAACAAAACTTGCAAAAGTATAAAAACGAAACTGAACCATACAGTATCGCATTTCTATATCTTAAAAGACCTGGCCTGAGACTTATGGATTTAGATTTTTTTAAATCACGCTTAGCCTATGTGTTCTATTAGGCCTATGTATAACGTATACTGATGCATATTTACATGTTTTAGAAGTATTCATTTTGAGTGATTCCAGGAAAGAATTTGTATTGGCCGCGGCTCCCACTGCTCCCCCTCTCGATACGTCTCTGCTTTTAATTCAGAGTTAAAAATAACTTAAAAGTATTAAGGAATTTAAATATGTAAGTTTAATGTTTGAGTTTATATGCTCAACACATAACCAACCATTTATGCCACCAAATCTTTCCTATTTTCAAAGTTCTGGCTGTGCCCCGGACAATAGGGAGATTTTGCAACCTTATGAAAGCAATAACGAATGCGATTACGTCATTATCGTTATCCTCATTCATGCCTGAAACATTCTTGACAATGTGCTGTATGAGGTAAATATCCTTGCTTCATGCAAAGGGCATGAATTGCCTATGTTGTTACAGATATGCTACTGTATGGGAAGGGTTATAAAAAAAAAAAATTTGATGAATGTAACCGTACTGATTGTCTCAAAATGCTGTCACAAAATAAATCAGTATGTCCAGTTAAAAAGATTTGTTTTTTTTTGTATTATATATTATACTTGTTATCATTTATTATAAACTTGAGTAAACTCCCTATTAAAATGCAAACACTCAAATAGAAGTAAATTCATAAAAAAGATATATCATCAGGATTTAATGGCAAATAATAATGCAATAGTATTCAGACCCCCAATGTTTATAGACAAGTTGATGCACGATGAATGTGAAATCGATTTAATTTTCAGACCTGATTAGTTGCTCTTCTTGTAAGTGAATTAACCTCTTGGGATTGAATCAAATCTGAATTGAAAAGAATTTTTAATATTCTACATAAATTATAATTATCCGTCTCATATTTAATTGATATTATACATATTTTTTGATAGATGAAATTTAATATTATATGTGCAGATTTATTTCTATTAACCAGTTAGACTATTGCTTATGGCACTCATAGTCATCTAATACAGTAATTAGAAATTTAATATGCAATGTATCATACCTATTAATAATTAAAGTTGAAAACCTAATTTGTATACTGAATTAACGAATAATAATTATAATATTTCTATTTAAATTATGTTCTGCTTGTACTGCATCTAGGCGAAATTGCTTTATGTAACACCTGGCTTAAGCTTTGTCATTACAGGTAACATGTGAATTTATTCAATGTGACTGCCTTCCTGTTGCACTAACAGCCATTGTTGTTGCATGCATAGAGTGAAAACGATTGAGTTATTTTATCATAAGTTATTAATGTGTAAATGAGGATCACAATGAAAATCTGTTCGTCTTCTGTATATTTTTTTTTAATTCTGAAACTGCTCACATGGTTGCACAGTTTAGCATCTGGATTATCAGTTATAATTTCTGACATAAAAAGAAAGGGAATTTAAGACGATCTGAGTGGATTGCATACATGTATTTAAAGTGAGATAGTATTTAAAAATTTGTATCACATTATATTATTATTATCTTTAAATTGAATACATAATTATACCAGTATATTTTATTTATGGTGCTGCCTCAGAAAGACCTTACTGAAAAGTCAGTAATTAAAGTATTTCTAGAGGTTGAATATAAATCAAAATTTGCAATGATATTTTGTCATGTGAGAACTATTAATTTGATTTGAAAAATTCAAGTGACTGAGTGGTAAGGCAGGGGCGCCACTAACTACAGCCTTAACATTGGCACTGATTCGAGCCACACCTTGCTCAGGTTCGGTTGGTAGAACCAAGTCTTCTCTGATAGAGACTTAAAACTGGAGATCCGGTGTACACATCAGACTTGTGTGCAATATAATCCTATTTAAGAACCCATTGCATCTTTCACTGCAGAATAGTAGAGGGTAAACTGCGATGCTACTAAGCACCTCTCCACGCTGCTACAGTAGTCACGGACTACACTCGTACGTAATTCAGCAGAACAGCTGCGAGGTATTGGTCATTCTCCTAGCTTTACCTTTTAAAATCTTTATTTTTTGCAGCAAAATAAGAAGACCATTAGCAAATAAAGACCGACTAAAGTTGCTACATCCAGATTTTTTCCGATACACATTCACACATTACCTAGATGGCAAGTCGCATCGACCTACGACAGGTAAATAGCATGTTTCATTCCAATTGAATTAATATGCTCTATATAAACTAAGTGTGATTATGAGGCTTACGGAGTGGAGTTGTTTTGCTTGTGAGAAAAAATACAGGAATGGAACTCAGGACCCTGGGATTGGAAGGCAAGCATCTTTACCACCAAGATAATCAACTTTGGTATTGTTTAATATTAAAATATTTTTTATTATAATTCTTAATATATACGTTAACATTTATATAGCGAAGTCTATTATATTATTGAATTTCTCTGGATAGATAGATAGATAGATAGATATTACAAAATTTGTTTTTGGTTTTCAATTGGTACTTTTTCGTTATTTTCATCCATGTAGGCGCTCTGAACGTCATCCTAGCCCTTCAACTATGTGATGAAGTAGATATATATGGGTATGGCTATGACCCTAGGTTTACCATGCATTACTATGACAAGAAATTTGTCATCCACACCAATAGATCCACAGCCACGCATGATGTTGACAATGAACGCGTTCTTTGGAAAAAACTGCATGAAGAGGGCATCATTAGGTTTTTTAAAAGAGACCTGTAATAAGAGGTTGGCTACTTAAAATATCAAAGATTTGGCTTCTTTCCTGTAGTCCCCACATACTATGTTTTATTCTTGCCATTCCTCGAACTGTTGTGTTTTCTTCAGTGAATCTTCCCTTTTGTAAATCTGTAGTCACGTCTGTATGTTGAAGATATCGCTTGAATTTTTATAATTATCAACATTTTAAAGAGCAAGGTACATTGCGTTTTTGATCAAACACGACTTAAAAAAAAAAATTTTTTTAAATAAAAAATTATTTCTGTATTGTCCTTGTTCAGAGGTTTGATTGACTACTGTCATCATTGAAAAGGTCATGAACTCGAAAATTCTGTAATATATTACAATAAATATTTTGACAAAATATTCCTTTGTAGCATTACAGTTGATTTTGTAATTAAATGATTTGTTAAAACATAATTTTCCAACATTTAGAAGAGTATAGCAATTTGGTACCTATCCTCTTCTGTAGTGTACAGTGTGTGAAAGTGCTGGTATTTGTAAACAGTTCTTTACATTCAGTATTTAATTGTCATTTTCTATTCTTCACTATTTTGTCTTCTCCGCATGTAGGTGCCCTCATCGTTATCCTAGCCCTGCAAATCTGCGATGAAGTTGATATATATGGCTTCGGATATGACCATCGGTTCACCATGCACTATTACGACTCGAAGTTTGTTGGTCATACTGACAAATCCACCGCGCTACACGACGTTGATAATGAACGAGAACTGTGGAAAAAACTCCATGACGAGGGAATTTTAAGACTTTTCAAGAGAGACATCTAGAAATAACAACCTGTTTCACAAGCTGAAAGACATTCACTACTGTGCCTTGCTCTTCTGAAGCTTTTATATTGTGGTAAAGAAAATTTATTGCCTGACCTTTGAACTTGAACCGTGCAAACAGTACACATACGGAGGAGGGGGCAGACAAATGTGTACATTCTTACATTCTACTATTTAATGTGTTTATAATTGATATAACAATGGCAACATTGTTCAGTTTTATCTTCTTCATTTCCTTCACCTCGGTCAAAGCACAGCTACAATATAAGAAACTACAACTGCATTTTCAGTTTGTTACAAAAGTTTCTAATGAGTCATTGGATTAGATGAATATTTCCTTGCTAGGCCAAGATATGAATGCACACAGTGAACATAATAAATCTCGCTTTATGGTGCTGGTTAACATGAATGTCATGAAGCGTAGACCATCCTAGGCAAGGCCTAGAAAGGCGTAATGGTTATGAGATAACGAGGTGATTAACTTATACAAGAACTGAAAACAATAAAGACAATGCTGAAATAATTCATAATAATGTTTACAATACATGTTAATGTATTGAACAATGTCTACTAGGTAATAGGCATACCTAATGACCCCTAATAAACTTTTTTGTATTTCGAAGAGCTGCAAAGAGCTCTGCGAACAGTGTCAGTGAGCGTACTACCGGTAACAAATCATTCCAATACGTGTAGCTAATGCACATGCACAGTAATCACTGAGCAAAGGCCATCGCAACTAACAGTTTGAATTATGAATATATAGCAACCTCTGTACAACCAGCAGTTTGATAGGCTATGTAAAAGGTGATAGACGTCAAGTAATTTCGTACACTATAGGAATAGAAGCCTTAGGAGCCATTATTTCCTTCTGTGGCATTTTAGGCATTTTTTTCAGGAAATAATGGCTCCTTCAGCTTCTATTTCCTATTGTACTCAAAACCTGACTATAATTGCTTATTAGTGTATTGTTATGTTAATTTTTGGGTGATGCTATTGTTTGTTATTTTTGACATGATATTTGTTTTGTTTTTATTATTGTTTATTAATGTTTATTATTGATTATTATTTATTAATGTATTCATTATATAATTCTTTATATTTTAATATTCTTAAGAATTTATATTACTAAAGCAAGTTTAGTCTGCTGATCTTTCTACTGGATATAGAGAATTTACAATAAGGACCAGTTCACTTCACTAAGAAAATCACTATATACCAGTTTACAATGATAATTGTCAAGAAGAATAGAGATAGAACTATTGTATAATAACATGAATATATTCATGACTAAAGGCAAATTCAAAATATTTCCAAATTATCTTTATGATGAAATAATAATTAATATTGCTAATTATAATAAGAATAGTGTATATTTATATTATGCCACCAAATGTACGCAATGTATCAGATTATAATATGTGATCCAGGCTACATGTTTCTGATCATTCTCACTACACAACACACATCCAACAGCTTGTAGTATCATAACGATGCAATGTTTATACATACTGTATGCACTATTTTATATACTGTATATACACACGTGTATATAAGATTTTATTAGCCTAGTTGTATTATGTTATATATTTATAATAGAGGGAGATAGACGCATTTTGAACCAAACTACAAATTCAAGAATTCACTCATGAAGCAGACATTCCTATTGCTCTGGAAGTCTACCCATCATTTACTTTGTATGCTTTATAGACCATGTTTAGTAGGTGGATTTTAAGGGCTATGAGTGTTGCAAAACGGATACCGGCCATATATAAGTGCTCATTTATTATTATTATTATTATCATCTTTATTAAAATTCAACTTTATTTTTTGTCCATTCCTGAAAATTAAATTACTTTATTGAGTTCATACATGATTGTTCTATATTTCTGGTCATAAGCATATTCCCAACAAAATTTTGAATTTTAATTATATTTCTTCATATTGGTTGTTTATCACCTGGACTAATTTTGATTTGCCCATTATTTTTCACATGTGATATTTGCTTCTTTTGCGATATATGTTTTGAAAGATTTTGTGCAATTAGAAAGAATGAAAATTAGAACAATTTTGTAACTTTATTATTGTCTCTTAATCAAGGCCAACAGTGCGGTAAATATAAAACTTGTTGAGCATATATATATATATATATATATATATATATATATATGTATATGTGTGT